GACCCCTCCTCTCCCACCTCTCGGCCTCCCCGCCGGACCCGACCGCAGCATCCCATCCCATCGCATCCCATCGCATCCCCATCCTGTCCCGTCCCATCGCATCCTATCCCGTCCTCTCCTGTGCCATCCCCTCCCGTCTCACGTCATCCATTCCTATTGTCTGCCATCCCAGTCCATCCTGTCCTGTCCTTCCCGATCTTGTCCTGCCCCATTCTGTCTATCCCACCACGCCCTGTCCCATCTGTGCCCTCCTGTCCCACCCATTCTCGTTGTCTCTCCATGCCCCGGCCCATCCCACTCCATACACCCTGGCTGATCCCATCCTGTCCCATCCCATCCCATTCTATCCATGTCTCATCCAGTTCCATCCCATTTTATTCCATTCATCCTGTCCCACTGTATCCTTCCTTATCCCATCTCGCCAGTGCCATCCCTGCCTGCTCTGGCACAGCCCTTGCACACCTTGGAGGGGAAGTTGGTGGCACTGAGCACAGGGAAGGGCAGTAATCCCTTTGGCGTGTGGGAAAAGGGAGAGGACAAGTGGGATGGGTCACCCAGGCTTAGGGGGGGGCAGGGGTGTGGCAGCAGGTGGGGACCCCCAAGAAAAGACCTCCTGTCCAAGCCCCTCCTGGGATCCACAACCCCTGTCCAGGGCTGATCCATCAGGAGGGGACACCAGGAGCAGCTCTGGAATTCAGGGGTGTCCCTGGCTGGGGTTTGTACATCCCAGTGCACAGGGAGTGCCTGACCCTGGCTGAGGGACTCCACGCTGTCCCTGTGGAGATGGGTGGGGATCACCAGGTGTGGTTGTTGCCAGGAGTGGAGTGAGCAGGATACAGGGATACAGCCGTGTCCCTGGAGTTCTGTGTGCCTGTGACCAGTCTTGTGTGACCATAGAGGGACACTCGTGTGTCCCCAGGGTGTCTGTGTGACCACAGAGGGACACTCGTGTGTCCCCAGGGTGTCCCTGTGTGCTCAGAGCTGTGCTCAGCCTCACCCTTGGCAGCATCCACTCTCCCCAGCCTGCATCCCACGGGCTGCTCCTTCCCTGAGCTCTTTTCCCTCTCTCTCTTTCTCCCCATAATCCATCTCCAGCATCTTCATGTCCATGTGGGGCAGCCCCATTCCACAGAGTGGCTCCAGAGTGTGGGGGATTCATTGGGGTCACTCAGAGCGTGGGGGATTCACTTGGGGGGATTCACTGGGGTCACTCAGAGCATGGGGGATTCACTGGGGGGGATTCACTGGGGTCACTCAGAGTGTTGGGGATTCACTGGGTCACTCACTCTATCCCCCCGGGCACCCAGCACGGGTTGGGGTGGCTGAAGGACTCTGGCACTCCCTGGTCTCTGTGGACCCCAAGTGCCACATTCCCATGGTGGCTGTGACCTCAGGGCTGCCCTCTCCCCTCCCACACCAGTCCCAGGCTGGAAGAACCCCTGGGGCTCGCAGGAGCTCGGGGGGTCTCTGGTGGGGAGAGGAACTCTCTGTGTGCTGGGCTCTGACAGGGAAGAGCCTGAGGAATGCTGGGCTGAGAGGGAGCCTGGAAAGAAAACCCCAGTGTGTGGCACCAGCTGGGCACCCTGTGAGACCCCTTCCAAGCCATCCCTTGATGCCATGATCCCAGCTCCAAGGTGGCCACAGCCACCAGTGCTTCTCCCTGTCACCACGGATCCAAGGATTCCTCAGCTGTCCACAGCCCCATCTGTGTGTGGCACAGGCACAAACCCAAATCAAGTTAAAACCACCAATCCCAGATGCAGCATCCCAGAGCAGCCTCCTTTGCCAGGCTTGGCTCTCCAGCTCAGCTTGGTTTGTGCTGTTCACTGCTCCACAATCACCTGGAAAAGCTCCTGAGTACCAGGATGAGGGAGCTCCACAATGAGCTGGAACAGCTCCTGAGTACCAGGATGAGGGAGCTCCACAATGAGCTGGAAAAGCTCCTGAGTACCAGGATGAGGGAGCTCCACAAGGAGCTGGAGAAGCTCCAGCCAGGGGCAGGATGAGGGAGCTGCAGGTACTCACAAAGGGCTGACAAGGAATTCAGAATGGAAACACTGTATTGACAGACTTTACAAAAGTTATTACAAAACACGGTCACAAACCAGCAGCTGACAATACAGAGCAAAGAGACACCACGTACAGCCACCTCAGAACAACACCAACAGCTCCAGAAGTCATCCAATATTTACACAAACAGCTGGAAAACTCTGGGCGGTTATCGCATACATGGAAGTGTTTTAGAGCAACTGTGAAATATAGTGTCACACCTTTCCTTGTAGTATTATCATCATCATAATTAATAATAATAATAATAATAATAATAATTAATAATAATAAGACTACTTCTAGGTTAACTAAAAACCAAACAGCTCTTTACAGGGGTTAGGAGAAGCTGCTTTCACTCGTCTGACTTACCTGAGTGAGACCAAACCCAGTTAAAAAATAGAAATAAAATCACCTTCATTGTCAGGAGTCTGTGTGTCGGCCCAGCGGCGCCGTTCCCTCGGGCCAGAGGGGAACCACAGCCCGGCTGGTGCCAGTGACACCTCCAGAAGCTCGGAGACGCGTCCTCCTCGTGTGAGCGACCCCAGCACGCCTCCGCACGCTGCCCTTCCCGACTCCTCCTGCTCCAATGTCCTCAGCCCCTTCTCCTGCACCTGCTTTATCTCACCCCGCTCTTTGCCACGCTCTCCTCTCCGCTTTTGCGCCTTCCACAAATCCCACGTCGCGCCCCGATCGCCTCTCTCTGCCTCGCCTCTCTCTGGCCTTCATCCCAGTCGTGGCCTCGCAGCCTTGGGGACGCGGCGACGCAGCGGGAGCGGCGCCTTCCTTCCCTCCCTCCCTCCTCGCGCTTCCAGCCTTGCAGTGAAACGAGTGGAAAAAAGAAAGCGAAAGCTTGTCACTCCTGAATATGCACAAAGATAGGTGGGGGAACACCTGCTAAATACGGAGCCCAGAGAATCGCTCGGGATCGTTCTCTACGGGCAGAATCCAACCCTGCGTGGGGAACAGCGAGCGCGGGGCCTGCGCCGCGGTGGGAGCGCCACGGAAGCCCGCGGGGTCCCAGAGCCGCCTGGGCCGGCCGAGCAGAGTCTTTAAGAGGAATTCCTTGGATGCTTCACCAAAGCGGGCTTCGTAGCATGACCACATGGATTAGCTGCGATACAAGTCACCTGCCATCATGCTGCACGTCCACCTGCCAGACCGTCACGGTCACCGCGAGCCCTCCTGCCCCGGCCCCACCACGGCTACTGCTTAGTCTCTTTTTTCACGCAGAAATGGTCGGTTTGGGTGCCCGCCGAGCCCAGGTTGTGCTGGGAATCCTCGCCGGGCCGCGGGTTGCGCGAGTGGATTTTCTGGTGGCAATTCAGGGACTCTTTGTAGCGGAAGTGCTTCCCGCAGACGGGGCACTGGTAGGGGGTCTCCCCGGTGTGCACCCGCCAGTGCTTGAGCAGGTGGTCCCGCCGGATGAAGCTCTTGCCGCACTCGGTGCACTGGTAGGGCCTCTCCCCGGTGTGGATGCGCTGGTGGCGGATGGCCTTGGAGAGGTCTCGGAAGTCCTTCCCGCAGTAGGTGCACGTCAGCGGCCCGTCGCCCTTCCCCGTGTGCAGCTTCTGGTGCAGGATCAGACTCACTTCCAGGCTGAAGCTCTCCTTGCACTGGGAGCAGGTGTAGGGCCTCTCCACCATGTTGTTCACCTGGTGCCTGACGAAGCCGTACTTGAAGCCCGAGCTCTTCTCCCCGTCGGGGCGCTTGGAGGCTTTGGAGCGGGAGGGGCCCTGGCCCTTGGCTTTGGATTTCTGCCGGAAGCTCTCGCCGCGCTCCAGGGATGTGCAGGCCTCCTCGCTGGCGTGCGCCTTCTGGTGGGTGGCAAAGAGCTGCTTGTCCAGGAAGCTCTGGCCGCACTCGCAGCAGATGTAGGGCCCCTTGTCGGCCGCCGCCTCCTCGGGATCCTTCCTGGCCAAGTCTCTCCCGCGGCGCACCGAGCGCCTCAGCCCGTTGCCCGTCGCCGTTCGCTGCGGCGGGGCCGACCCACTCTGGCTCTTGCTGCTCGACTGCATCTCCTCCTCCTCTTCCCACTTTCCTGTCGACGACCTGGAAAGCTCCAGGCGCTCGGAGCCTTCCTCATCGCACGGCTGTTCGTCTGGTGGAGCAGAGACACCGGTGTCATTTGGGCAGTCAGGGATTGGGGGGTTACTCACTCAGAGCCCTTGGGACACGGAGGATCTCTGCTGTGCACACCCAGCTCAGAGCCTGGCACTGACGGGGCTCTGAGGCCGGCTGGGAGCACCTACTCTGTCCAGAGGGATTGCACTTGGAATCTTGGAATTGTTGAGGTTGAAAAAGGCCTCGGAAATCATTAAGTCCAGCACTGGCAAGGCCACCCCTGACCATGTCCCCAAGCGCCACATCCACACGGATGTCACATCTCTCCAGCAATGCAGACTCCACCACTGCTCTGGGTGGTCCCAGTGTGTAACAGGCTCTTTTAGGGAAGAATTTTACCAATTTACAACCTGACCTTCTCTGGCACAGCCTGAGGCCCTTTCCTCTCCTCCAGTCCCTGTTCCCTGGGAGCAGAGCCTGACCCCCCTGGCTGTCTCCTCCTATCAGGGAATTGTGCAGAGCCAGAAGGTCCCCTC